AATAATCATAATGATACGAGTAGTGGTGATACTAGCAGTGATGATGGTAGTAATATTCGTAGTAATAGTAATAGTAATAGTAATAGTAATAGTAATAGTAATAGTGATAGTGATAGTAATAGTAATAGTTGTAGTAGTAGTAGTAGTAGTAGGAGCAGCAGCAGCAGCAGTAGCAGTAGCGGTAGCAATAGGCAGGCTCCTTGAGACTTCGACTGCGATCACAGCAACGGCACATTTCTCAACAACAGCGATAACGACAAGAATGATGCTCTTAATAGCAAAAATGCTATTTATAACAAGAGGAAAATAGCAAGGCAGACGCATCATCAACGTCACAAAAACGACGACGACAGCGACACCACCTGCTCCTGCTGCAACTACATGTAGTGCTACTACGCGCTGCCGCTGCTGCTGCTGCTGCTGCTGCTACTGCTACTGCTACTGTTAATGCTACTGCTACTGCTACTGCTACTGCTACTGCTACGACGACTCCTGCTCCTACTCCTACTTACTGCTACTCCTGATGCTCGTGTTACTTCCATGATGATCCATATGCACAAGACTGAGGACTTTGATTATGGCGGCATCTATTCCTTCGTAAAGTTCATGAGAGAGCAGCCCACCCTGTCTCCGATGTGGCTGCCCAAGGCAGGTGGGTTCATGTGGAGGATCCAGTCAGATGCAACGCATGATGGCCCAAGCACGGGCGGTTGTGATTGCTCTGTTTGCAAGATGTGCTAAAAGATTCGGATTTTCAGCGGTTGGCTCTTGCAACTCAGAAGCACAGCGCATTGGAGAGATCATACGGTCCGCCACAACCAGGCGGCAACGACAGAACCCGTAAAAGATATCTGGCCTTAGAACTCAACAACCTGGCAAAGCCAATCTTTGGCCCGCTGGCGGCGCCATGGCAGCACGTCCAAGCGTGCAAATGTGCTCGGCAGTTCTCATTTTCAGTATTCTGCCCATGCTTGTAAGTGGCGACGGTCCACTAACTACGCCGGTGCCAGCACCAGCCCCAAAGCAGATTTGCAGTGAGTGCAATTGCCTGTCGCCTGGCAACTGGAGAGGTCAAATGGCACTGGAAGCCTGCAGTGAGCTGTGCTATGGAGAGGGTTCTTCATACTTCAGGCATGCCAGTGGTACGAAGCCTGATGGCCAGCCAGGGGATAGCAATTGCGCTTGTTGCAGCGACAGCGCGACCACGAACAGCGACGATGGCTGGGGGATTCGTGTTTTCGGCTACGAGACTTCTAGCTCAACATCCACGTCCTCTTCAATCCCCGCCTTCACAGAGATTTGCGCTCAGTGCGATTGCCCGCAAGTTGGCGACTGGAGAGGTGTCATGACGCTGGAAGCTTGTAGCCAGCTGTGCTACGGAGAGGGCTATTGGTTCTTCAAGCACGCGAGTGGCACCAAGGCCAATTTCTTTCCAGGAGATAACAACTGTTCCTGCTGCAGTGGCACTACAAACAAAAATACCGACGATGGCTGGGGCCTTCGTGTGTTTAGCTATCAGGAGAGCTCCAGCCCGACCAATGCAGCCGGGGCTGGGTGCAACAACCACTGGGCAATGGGGGCTTCTGTTTCCCTGCTACTAACCGCGCAGGTCTAAGATCACCGCGTGTCGCTTGGCATGAGCAAATCGGCTCGCCAAGCTGTAGCTTCAACGCCCATCGCACTCACAGAAGCGCGCAAGAAAGCCAGTCGGATTTGGGTCTTGGCCAAGTCATGTAGAGAGGAGATAGGGACCCCATAAGAAGCTGCTGTGCGCCCCTGCATAGATCGTTTTTGGACAAGTCATGGACAGCTAGTGGTCTTGGGTTTTCTGATGGTCTCCCATCTAACTCTGCGCCTAAATCCCTAGCACCCTGGCGCAAACAGGGAGGCGTTCAATTAGCCGATGACCTGGCCCTGGATGTATGTCCCAGCGTTCTGGATCTAACAAGCTTCAGAGCCATGATGAGTAGTTTCCATTTTTCCATTATCCCTATATAACCCCTGTATACTATAGTAGCTTCCATTTTCTCTTCCATCATCCCTATATAACCCCTATATACTATAGTAGCTTCCATTTTCTTTTTCATTATCCCTGTATAGCCCCTGACTTCCCTTATTTGGTGCAGGCCAAGATGCTGGACTCAGGGGCTTGGATCGTCGAGGGCTACAAGGCGCAACTTGGTTGGCAGACATGTCCATTTTGCCCTTATTTTGGGAAACTAGCTTGTTGTTAGAATTGAAAGGTGGGCATGTTGAAGGGAATGCTCATATGCAGCAGTGTTGGTTTCTGCGCCAAAGTAGTCAGATGTAGGCTGTATGTTCGACCTCGCATTTATAGGTTCAACTGGGAAAGGACGCAAAAAGAAGTAGTTTTGCCATCGCGGCATGCCTGCTGCTTGACTTAGGTGTCGGGCTGAGTAAGATTTCATGTGCTCGGGACGTGCCCTGCTGTCCTTCGAGAGGCTTGGGGTCAGGAGTTTTGCTGCGGAATGCGCGGGTTGCCTTGGGTTTGTGGCACCAAAGTTTCATAAGCATGGCAACGGTGCCCTATTCCTGATTCTGTCATTTCCTGATCTTGTTCAAGAGGCTTCAGGATGGATCCGCACCACCCGAAAGTGTTTTCTGTTTGTGAAGGTCCCGCAAAAAGGTCTAGAATACCGAGGAACCCCAAAAGCCAGCACAAATTATGATATCAACCCTTCTGAGCCAACTTTTGTTGAGCCCTTGTTTAAAGCTTGCAAAGCACTTAACATGGACCATGTCTCTGAAGGACCAGGGCGAGGCAAACGCGTCAAGTTCCCTGAGCACGCCGCTCATGAAGTAAGATGCTGGAATGATCCGGCAAGAAGAGCTTTCATGAAAAGAGGGGCCCTGAAATATGTGAGGCATCTACATAAGGAGACTATAGATTTTTTTAGAGATTTAGTTGGGATCATTTTGAGAGACCACCATGCCTCAAAACAGAGTTCCCCCTTCATACCGTCGTATGCCACAATACGACACCGTTACGATCCCACCCTCATTCCAGAGATCCAACAGGGCACCGTTTAGAGTTCCCTATCATCACGCGCCACCCAACATGTTGCCCCCCCCCTCCCCCTTTTGGAAGCTTAGGCACTTCCGCATGAAAATTATGGGGCCCAGGACTTGGGATTTGTTATAGCTTTAGTGCGTCATTGCGCAGAAGAATTCGCAGGAAACTTTGCATCATCTGAAGTTGACTACCTACATGAGTGCTTGGCGTATCGCGTCGAAAGAGGCATGCGGGATTGCAAGAGTATTCTTGCCAGGTTTGTTTTGTGGCCACGAGTTCTGGATGTATGCAAGATAAATTTCCGTAACAGTTTCCGCGATGTTCCGCAGCATCTTTACATCAGCCCAATTTGTCATGCAGGCGGATTGCTAACTGCTAATTGCTGATTACGCCCGAGTCACGCAGCCAAATCTGTCAATTTTCTCAAAACCTTATGTTCTGATTTTAGTTCCAGAGAAATGAACATTCGATTCCCGAACATGGTGATCAATATGTTTGGGGATTGTATGCGGGTTGGAAGCTTGACATTCCGGCTTGGCTAGCATGAGTCCCAGAAGACGGCCATTCCTTTGGCAAGGACATGGCAGCTTTCAAAACTTAGAGGCCCTTTTTGCATCAGATGCTCTTGTACAGTAGAAGCACCGAGTTTCAAGCGCCTTTTGGGGGCCTGAAGCTTTTTGGAAGCTGCTATGTATTTGCTGGACTTGAAATTGAACAGCTGCTGAGACAAAGCAGCTTGGAGCTTTGCTGTTCATTTTACATGGGTTGTTCTCAAATTATGGGCCCCTTTGGGTGGTAGATGCTATTATGGCACTTAATACTGGTGGTACCAAAATGGGACCTAAATTTTGGGAACTACCCACATAGCTCCGTGCCGGCATCAGTTGGGCAAGGTGCTGTGGCAAGATTTAGCAAGCCCTGAAAGGAAATTCTGCCCCGTCTCAAATCATCATGAGGGGTAGACCCATGAAATTCCCTCGTAATCATCCGGATTTGGAGAGATTCTCAAGTCAGAGCTGCCACATGCAAACATCACAGAAGTCAAAGCTGGCACTGGAAATTACGTATGTACCACAGTTGCCACGGAAGGACCAACATCCCGTCTGATGCTTGCATGACAGATGTTTACAAAATAAGGCGAAAAAGACCGCACCTGTGGTTCCAACTGCGACAAGTATTTCAGCAGCTGCCATGCTGGGTGGTTGCATACGCTGAGGACAATCGCCGCTGCCAGCGGCACCTAAACGTGCTTTTTGTGAAGATGATCGTGGGCAAGGGACTCAGGAAAGGTTAAGCCAGCTGACTGTTGCCTGAGGATTTGGCGCTGTTGGTGCTCATAGCATTTTGCCGGGTTGACGCTGAGTTGATGATGGACATGCTCATGCATTTAGTAAGCCGGCATGTGCCCACATTTGGAGGTCACCTGCGAGAAAAATGTTTGGGTGTACTTTCCAGATATGAGGCCAGAATTCGCAAGTACTCATAGCGCAACGCTGAGGAGGCAAGATCGGCAGCACAGTGGAAATCCCTTACGGCCGCTCGGCACCCATGCTTGGCTGCCTGTTGGTACTAGCTTTTGGCGGTGTGTGGAGTGACCTCAAAGGCGACATGTTGATATATTCACATATTTGCGCTTTCTGTGACCTGCCCCGTAAAGAAAGCATGTCACCAGTTGCCGGAGTGTTATCTGGGGTCATTTACAAGAACCTGTTGCGCGCAACAGCGCTCTGAGGTCATTGCGAAGTGGGTTTGTGGTGGCTCATCTGCAGTTGGCAAGATTTACGATAACCGATTCCCCGCTGTGCATCTACCTCGCGAACGCGAGTGTCCCTTTTTTGGGCGTGGGTCTGTGTATCAAGCCAATCCAAACTTGGGCGCAATGGCAACGTAAATCTTTCTCTGCCGTCGTTATTGGCTTTGGTAGAGGCCAAGCCACGATCTGTATTTCAAGTTGGATTGGTAGGTGAAGTAGAAGAAGCTTCAGAGCTTTTTGTTGCCAGGTACCGGTGCCGGGCCCATGAAGCCACAGGGCTTCCCATCAGATGCCTGGCTCACACGGGTCAAGGGCCTGGGAGTTCAATGGTTTCACGCCTCTCTGGGATTGGGCTCCCAATAGTTCCCAAAACCCTAAAACCCAAACGAGAAAAGGCGTGCCAATAAAAACAACCTTGAATTGTGCCTGCTGAGTCCGATGCGCGTGCCTAAACCCAGAATTTCGAATGAGTTTTGCATGAAGTTTGGACTTGAAGTTCCAAGCCTGTGCCAGCCTTAGGACACATGAAGCTGCTGTTTGCAGGGGCGGCTTTGGCCGACGACCGGCGACATAGCAGCTTGCCAGAAAAACTCTGAAGGCATGCTGCCTTCGGATAGATGGGTTGTATAGGGGTTATATAGGGATAAAGGAAAACAACATGGAAACTGCTATTTAAGGTTTAGGGTTTGGGGTTTGGGCATCAAGAGTACAGATTCATCTACATGGCATCGTGGGCACACTTTCGTCGAATTTTCCAGTCGTGTCTGCGATCTTTGGCCTGACAACCGGCCGCTGAGGCGTGTAATCCCTGACCTGAACAATGAAACCATTGGGGTAATATAAGGGTTACGTTGGGGTTATATGGGGATAATGGAAAAGAACATGGAAACTACTATTTAGGGTTCAGGGCCTAGGATGCTGGGAATCTGCATTCTCAGGGGATTTCTTAGTCGGGCAGGGATCGTGTTTGTCGTTCAGCTAAGGCGGTCTCCAGGTTCGCAGTACGCTGCACCTGGTAGTCGCGCCACGGAAGGACGCAGCACCCAGTGACCCTGCTGGACCGTGAAGCTTTTCCAGTGGGCGACAGGCTTGAAATGCGTACGCGTCTGCAAGGATACCAGGGGCAAGAAGGGACACTGGTGGCCTCCAACTGCCTCAGGTTGTAGCCCAGCCTTGCGAAGGACCAACGCATTGCCGCCAAAAGCTGCAAGCACTTCAGGGCAGTGGCAGCCCTCAGGGCTGCCTCGCCGAGCCAAGCAAAGAGGTGCTGACGCCAGCGCCAGCTGCAGGCCGCCGACGCCCAAGGTCGCAGGGCCCCGCCAACGACCGTCCCCCCTGCTTCTGAAAACGCTTTTCAGCAGGGTGCCCTCAGCAGACCTCTCGCAGCAGCGACAGCCCCGGTGGCAGAGACATGTTGCCATGTTGCAGCCAGCATGGCAATGCGGCCGACAGCTTGTCGCCCAGGGGAAGGCCCCTTCCAAGGCAGCTCAGTCGGCAATTAGCAAGTCAAGATGAAGCTATGAAAAAGCTGTTGCTTGGGACGACTTCTGGCAGATAGTCCTTGTCATGGACGCTCCCAAAACGGATCCACAGTTTCAAGAGACCCCGAAGCAAACTGTCATGTTCCCAGTTCATCCCTGGGGGCACTGGAAGGCGACCTGTGATTACGTGTTCCGAGTGGCCAGGTGCCATTGCAGATGACAAGTAAGAATACGTAGGAGATCGGTCGGGATGCTGGATGTGGAGCCTGAGAAGCATGCCGCAACAGTGAGCCTCGCGAGAAGAATCAAACGCATGCCACATGCAGCATCATGGTTGTCTTGAGCGT